AGGATGCTTAAGAGTGGTTAGGAAAGGCGTGATGATAAACAGTCTGATGGGCATCCGGTGGGTAACATGTCCAGGTTCTGGCTGTGTCCAAAGACCAATGCTTTTTACTAAACCACCCTAGTGGAAGTCCATATTGAGCTGTGACACACTAAATTCCGCCCTGTATCATCACTGTCTTGTTCTGTAGGTATGACCAACACTTGCTCTTACTAGATTTGTTTAGAATGTTTTATTTAGCTGTATTGGAACAAATTTTATTGAAATACTCTGTTTGCCAAATCCCTGAGATTACCCTGTTACTGCTCTACTCTTAAAGTACTGCCAGTCTTTGTTATTAGAACTCATCTTAAGGCTTAAAATTGAAACGTTTTTGTAACTTTTTTGTTATTTGTCCAGCAATTAAGTAAAATCCCAGTAGATGAGGGGACAGGGTTCCATATTCCTAGATAAGTGCAAATAACACTGCTTTCTTACTGAATGAATTCTGCCCTTTTTTTCATATGGAAACAAAAATGTTAGTATCCAAGTCTTTTTTCTTAAATAAAAAAATGTTTCTATCTCTGTTTTAATGATTGCAACAGAACTGTCTGATCTGTTACCAAAAGTTTTCTTTGAGTAGCAACTATTATTAATATTAAACAAAAACATGGGCTGCAGAGGCGTAAATGTAACTCAAATGTTGAGTTTAGGTTCAGTTTACCTGTACAAAGAAATCTTTTTCACTAGGTGAATTCTCTGAATGCTGAGCTCTGAAAATTGATACATTTTTCTTTTTACAGCTGAGAAAATACACTTTGCTTTATAAAAGTGTTAAAGACTTTTCTTTTGCTGATATGGTAAAATATGAAATATTCATGTATTTTGACAGAAAGAAGAAAAACCAGTACAAGACAGAAAAGCTCCAAATAAACAAGACGTGTTTCTCTTAGATTTAGATGATTGTAAGTATCTTGATTAAAGCCTTATTTTTCCCATGGCATAAATTCAATTCAGTTAATTCAATGAATTTTAAATGCCTGAAACATTGATTCTCTTCATTTATTATACCAGCTTCCTGACCCAAAAAAAAATTGCTTTATCAACTTATTTTTAAGCATAAGTATTACAATACATGATTTTGTTTGTTTTAGAACTGAGAAATAGTTTCAAAATTTACAATGTATTGGTATATAAAACATTTATTTTGATAGTTTTTGTATGTCTGAACTTGTTTTCTGCTAAAGTGGGCTTTTTTTCACAGGTGCCAATGGCTGTTACTTGTACAACATCTGTGCAACCTATGAACCAATTGTGGTACTCTCATAAGATACTAAAATTCACAGTTTTGAAGAACAGATTAAAATGTAATCTAGGAAGGGTACGGTAGAGCTGGTAGTGTTTTTTGGCTGTGCTTTGTAGTGCTGTTCTTCAAGTTTGCTTCTATAGGTGCAACACACATTAGAAGTCCATTAATATATACTTTGCAGAAAACTTATAAATGAGAATGTCCTGCATAGTATGGTTCAGGCAGAAGGATATAATAGAGGAAAAATAGGAAAGGAGGACAAAATACTTTAATGTAAATAACATGTGGTATGTACATATATCAGTTTTATTTATATTTTCTTTGTTTATTTTGAGTATTGGGGCTATACATCTGCAAAAATAATATTCTGCTATTAAGAAACATATATGCAAAGATAAAATAATTAGATCAAGGCATAAAACCTTTTTAAACTTAATGAAAATAGCTCATTGTCCTTCCCAGTATTTTAAAGTTTTTTTTAAAATTAAGTGTCAATTGCCTTTTTACTTCTAGTCTGTCCTGTGACAACTCCTGTGGCAGTTCCTACAGCAGCTGTTTTGTCCCCAAGTCTAGCAGCAGACCTAGAGGGATTAAGTCTGTCAAGTTCATCAGTCATTGATGTGAGTAGTCTTCAAAAAGTGGGGTAAAGTGTGTGGGGGAGTGTGTCTTAATTTAAGCATTTCATATGTTTTTGACGCAGTCATTGAAGTGATTTTTTTAAAAGTACTTTTACATATAAAGGTCTTGTATGAAATTCTGGTTTACAGGCAAGTATGGCAGCTTTATTTGATCTGTAATAATTACATTCTGAAATACGGAGAATGAAGAAAGTATGAATATTGCATGTCTGAGAAGAATGCCTTCAAGGATTTTTAACCTTCTCTTTCCATCTGTGTTTTTCTCTGCCTCAGGGAAACTTTAATTCATAAATTAAATATCCACACTATACAAATCTTTCCAATCATTTAGTTGCTACACTATCAAAAATAAACTACAAGAAAATTACATACCTATTAATCTTCAGCCTCTTTATTTACCATACATGCCTCCAATTATGACATTTGGCTACTTGGAAGTAATTTTTCATGAGTATACAAAGCATAGCCCGAGGGTGCAAACAAAAAGGGTATAGATTTACAATCAGTGGTGTATCAGTATGTGTCATGATTCATTCTGTTAGTCCTTTCTGCTTTGTAGCACTTTCCATTAGGGAATCTCAAAACTATAGGTATAATTAAGGTTAGCAAAGTCATGGAGGTAGAGGGCATTCCTTTATTGGGGGAAAGGATAGTAGTTTGTGTTCTTTGTTTTTTCTTTTTTTTTTTAAGTCATTCTGTATGTCCAATTCAAATGTGCAATTTAGTAAAGAATTGCAGCGGTACAACACAGGATTCTTATTCTTGTGAAAGTGGATAGGAGCAACCAGAAAAAATACCAGAGGCATAGGCATTTTTTAGCCTAGCCTCGTTCCTAATGAGGCTGGTATATAGAACCAACACTGCAGCTTTAATAATTGCTGGTAAATTAGTTTGTGCTGGCTTTGGGAGCAATATGTTTGCAGAATCAATTGCTTCTTACATAAAGAAGGTGCATGAATGATTTTGCTGAAGAAATAAAAGATCTTAGCTGGTGATTCAGTTTCACGTTTACAGGCTTTAAAATTTGGTGTTGAAAAGGTAGACTTTCAGATAATTTGTTGAATATTAGCCTTACCTAAGAAAATTGTGATGTAATTTGAATTTAAAGTAGAGCAGTAACAACCTGTGGTCATGCAGTCACTTTACCTGATGTGTAGTCGTTTACCTGTCACACATTCTGAAAATGCCAGAAATTCTATTCCATGTTAATTTGCAGTGCAGTATGCAGCGTTAGGTTGCAAGCCTGAGTTTGACTACAACTATGTTGTTATTCCCGTGATTGCAATCCCACAATTGCTTCTTTGCCATCCTTTATGGCTTTGACAGCTCAAAACACAGGCAATCATCTTTTCCTGGCTCTGGGTTAGCTTAAGAATGACTGGTGGCTTTGCTTTACTTCAGAATTACCATCTTTGAGGGTAAGTTAAAGATACCAATCAGTAATGTCGGATGCTTGAGAACACCCCCTGTTTGCCAGTGTCTTTAGTCCTTTCATCATCTACAGTACATGAACAGATGTTCCACTCGGACATTCATGCTTGCCTTCCTCATGATTGCCACTATTGGCTTGCTAAATTACTTCTCCCCATTCTTCAGGAGGTAGCTGCAATGAAATAGAGGTGTTAGAGAGAAAGAACTAGAAGGTGTAGTCTAAACAGTGGAAGAAGTTCTGCATGAAAGGGTTGATTCTGCAAAATGCCTCCCTCTTGGTACTGCTGAGTTCCTGGTTAAACATGTAACCAGCAAAGAAGCTGGAACATTTCCTCATACTCCCTGCTCTGGAAACAACCCAAATCACGTAAGAACTCATTGTTGCTCCCTGAATAGTGATTACGTGTTTTGGGATATATTCTGTTTCCAGATCTAAGCTCAACTCTCGTTGCCATTGATAATAGTTGCAGATGTACATGAGGTCCTTTGCTGAGTTTTGTGCACCAGGAAGCGACACAAATTAAACACTGAGGTTAAAAACTGTTCCTTCAGATTATATCCTTATATTGTAAAAAGTCTTGCATGCAAGTAGTTAAATGACTCTTGTCACATATTGTTCAGTACCATCAAGTAATTTTCTAAAAATGAAAATACAAAAACATCTTTTAAGACTGTATGTGGGAATGTCCCTCTTAAAATAGTATTTTGAATTTAATCTGTGATGACTAATTCTAAAAATAAGGAGGATAGTTGTCATACTTCAGAAAACTTTTTCTTCCTTCAATGGGAGAGAAAATGAATTTAACTGTAGGGCACATGCCAAACTAACAGTGAGAAATTAATTTATTACTAGCCAATGGAGAGCAGGGAGTAAAAATAGATAAGTACAGTATATGACCCTAATATCAAAGAAATGTAGCAGCCACTTATCTTGGAATATGTCAGGCAGTCTATTATTCAAATCATTCAGCACTGTAATTGGATACAGCATTTAGAAAACTTATAACTCCAAATTCATAGCTGCTGAACATTATAGAAAGCATAAATACAAAAATGGTTTTACAGTAATGGTATGGGTCTCCTTAAACCTACAAAACCAAAATATCCTTGAATAGAAACTACAGTGCACAACCTGATGCTTTGTCCTGTGGCTCATTTGTTTTTATGATTCATGTTTACATACAGCACATTTCCTCCTCATATAAATGCACACAGGCGTATTATAGTTTGTTCCAGGAAAAACAAAATTCTCTGGTAATTTATGTATAACTTCCTTCCAACTGGATGAAAGACATAGCAGATCCTTGTGCGTGTTTCTGCCCTGGTACATGTAGTCCATCTTCAGGTGGCTCAACTCAACTGGGCAACTGAGGTAGCCACAGGCTACTATGGGGCTTTCCGGGGTGTGCACGCGGGAGAAGTCAGACCTAAGTCCTCGGGGAAGCAATGCATTTGGAGTCGATTGAGTTTTAGATGGATACATTTGTGGGCTTGAAAGATACTTGAAGATACAGCGCCAATAAAAATAGGAGGTGAGAGAAAGCTGCAAGCTGTCAGTGTAAAGTTGTTATCTGAAAACACTGGAAATGAGTGTTGTCCCCTAAAGGGAGGTTATAAAGGGAGAGAAGAGGGAATTGAAAGCAAAACTCATTCATGACATAAGGACACGGAGGGTTATAACCTGCTGCAGGAAATAATATTTTGAGCAGGAACAGTGAGAGGAGGAAGAGGAGACCTATGGTATCGGAAAGAAACCAAAGACGAGAGTGATCGTCTGTTCTTACCCATCACACAGCTCATGAGAAAAAAAGCCAAACCACCTATTCTCTTCTCATTAGGAATTCAAATTTTAAAAATGTGCAAGCAACTGCTCTCCTAAATATGTAGACCCCTGCGTATGCTGCACATGATAATTAACTGATAAAAATGACACATTAATTTTAAAAATGGAATCAGTGAGAAGGAAGTACTGCTTTGGTAGCAAGAGATTTGTTCTGATGCAGAACAGTGTTAGTGCAAGGGAGAACTGACAGCTGGATGTGAGTTCTGACGGTAGCAGCAGCTGGATGGGGCAAAAAGTGTCTGGAAGTATGGGCTGAGTTGAGTAGGATTTGAGGGGAGAAGATTATTTCCCCAGCCCCAAATAGAGGATAATTTGGGAAAAAATGTCAAGGGTGAGTAAGAAGTTCATGATAAAAGCATGTAGCAAAAGAGGGGTAAACTTTTACTGTAGTGAGAAGGTACTTATAAAAATACTTGATGCAACAATTTAGTGTTGCCGTTAATTATTGTGCACTTGTAGTTATGATATAATTGTAGAAGTGGTACCATTGTACTTACTAAGGTTTTATTCAGCATGTTCAGTATATTTTCTTGATAGCAGTCATTATCAATGATATGTTTTTATTGTTTCCTACTACTCAGGGTTCCACAGAAACTGTTTAGGAACGGGGGAGTAAATCATCTTGTTTTCTCTCTCATGTCTTCTACAGAACTTTTGGCTGAGATGCACTTTGAGAACTTTAGAGTGGTGATGCGTAGAGCAGAAATAATAGCTTTTGACAAAAGTCAAGGTCAAGCTGCAGACCTGTCAAACCAGGTGATAAATACATTTAATTTCAAATTGAGCACACTTATGAAATTCCTTGAGAAACCGTAAACATGAACACCCTCAATATTCAACTAGAGATATTTTCAGAATAGGAGAACACCTTAAATGGTGCTTTAATTTCTGAGTTGTTGAGGTAGTCTTTACAGGGGAAAACTTTCTTACCATTTAGGTTGCTTTGTCCATTTAGGCTGTTTCTAATTCCACTATAGCAAGTGTTAAGACTGACTCTGAAGTATATTCTTTTCCAGTGTAAAGCATCTCTTCTTAGAAGTACTGGGAACACAGGGATTGCAATAATGGATTGTATCATGGTACTAGTCTGGTATGCAGCTTGTGGGAAAGGTTAGCATGAGATGCTTAAGAATTTGCAAAATCCTACAGTAGAGGAATGAATAGTAGTTCTTCCAAATAATTACTGGCGTGTACTCAACTTCATGAGTTTTATTTTTTGAGAGCTTTGTTAGCAGTAATTATTCTATAACTAGGTACGTTTATCATTCATATAAGCTGTGGTCTGATTTCCTACCTCAGGAATGGCTGTATCAGAAGAAACATTAACTTATTAACATCATGAAAGAGACGTAGTGCAATCAGTTGTGATAGCAGCAGGCTGTGTGTGATGGTTCGACTAGTTTCTTGGTACTCTTCTGCCCTGTGTTCTCAGAGAGATTTTGATCAGCAATCATTGTTTTTTAAGTAACTAGTTTTATATTTCTGTAAGTATATCCAGTCCCTCTTCGGAAGCTTCTACAATTTTTTTATTCACACAAAAGGTGTTTCTTTTAAACTGGTTTTCAGTGTTAGCCACGTCTTCTCTTTTATCAGAAGTTTTTGTGGTTTTGTGTTAGGATAACACAGGCTTATGGTATCCTTGATATCATTTTATTGCTTTTTATAGTTTAGCATTTGCACTCTTGTTTTTCAGCTTCCTATAAGAAAT